AAACTCCAACTGCAGTCCTGGACAGATTGCTATAATAGTGCACAAAGTGGAGAATGGGTACACATGATACACCACACTCATTGAGCCTTTGTCATACTTACGCGCCTTTCTCACACACTCTCTCTTGTTCTCTCCAACTAATGTTGTCGTATATCCCGGACAGTTTCCCGCCTCAAGTTTTGGTTCCCCTGCAGGTTAGTGGATTGGATGTAACGCAGAAAATGCGTTAATGCAGGTACTATGCATCTCACTGCATCCTCGACTATCACAATCACCGTGACGCCTCCCAGTCTGCAATATTCAATAGTCCGACTGCAGGAGGGGTTGCCCACGCCGATGTAGGCAAGATCGGAATTTCCCAGGCAGGACTCCGTGCGGCGTACATATCTAGTGAAGATCAACATCAGGGAATTTCTCCGCTCTGTGGAATGGTACTGACTCTTCCAGAAACCGTCGCAATCCATGGTTCACCGCTCCTCTCGTCGCACAGTGCTTCGTCCACTGTCCGTCCCACACCAGGTTGCTGTTCAAACTCTCAACAATCGTTCCCGCTTTGTCGCTAATTTCGGACTAAAAAGGCCACTAATTATGATACGAACTTGCTACTTTGTTCTAGTGAGCAGCCGGTCGCAGCACCGCCTTTGACGCCGCCGGTTTCACTACAACGGCTGGTCCACTTGTTCCCACCAACTCTGTTGCGGGAAACCACTGCTCATAGAATTCTATCCCAGCCTCTTTTTCACCACACAGCCCCGTTGGTTATCGGTTGGCTGAATGGTATTACCTTTTCTCCTTCAGGATAAGCACTTGAAATTACTGCCGTCCTGGGTTGTTGCGTAGGAGTCTACGGAGTACTTGGTGCTCTGGATACCGTGTCTTAGGACCCATGTTGATCACGATTTTCAATAGCACCCTTATGGTTCGACTACTCCCTGTTGAACCCCGCAGCGGGATCGGATCTCACGGGCGGCTGGCTACGGTTTTCTCGAATCCTCAAGCAAGGCAATAACATAGGCAACATAGATTCATTCTCAGTTACAATTCTCTCGGCATTCTTCCTCGCGGTGTCTTGCCTCTTTAGGCACATCTCAAGCGGCTAAAAGGGCAGTATCTATCTAGAGGGTCTCGTCTACGTCTACTGCATGGAAAAGTCGTCCTTACCGTGGAACATGGATCCCATTTTTATCAATGTCGGTCAAACCTACTCCACAGTACGGAGAACTCCGCCCACTACCTTAGTCGGAGAAAATTTTGTTTGGACCTGCCCTTTTCTTCTTCGACTGACGTCAAGATTCGGCTACTCTCCATTGGTTCCAGTGCAGGGTTTTGCTTAGCCTTGCAAGATTATTAATGTCTGCACGCCGATTACTGGGCCATTGTTCAATTGCTTCGGAAGGCATCTCCGCAAAAGGGCGGACAGGGCGCTTCTGAAAGAAAACGGTGAACCAAATCCCGGTCCTCGTTTACTCTGGTGTTGGGGTAAAACTAGACGACACGGCAATATCTCGGTACTTTGACTCTTGGCAAAGATACTGAAGCAGAAGCCATTCGGGACGCGTCTGCTCAATCTCAAACGCCATTTTGTCCCCTGTTTTCAAATATATCACGGAGTCGCAAGCTGTCAATCGGGATGTCAACGTGAAACAACCCCTGTACATCAGTATGTTATGCGCCAGGATCATGGCTCATGCAGCAAGCCGAAAGTCTAAATGACCCTCACATATGTATGTGCTGCAGTGCACATCCATGCGGCATGGTGTTCTATTCCAACGGCGAGTGCCCCGCAAGAGGCTCGCAAGAGGCTCCCAGGGACCGACTGAGTTATGACAGTCTAGGCCGATTGCGACGCGGCCTCGCACTGTAGATGTGGTCTTCGACGCAAAAGGGGCGAGACGGTCAAGTTCCTTGGGACCGGGTGTTACACAGAACCTAATCCAGATAACGGCCAGCATCCGAGTCAGGCTGTCGCACACCACTGTTTCGTCGCCTCACTGGAAACTCGAACCTAAAGATGATTCTCGGCCGGACTGGTCTCGACTCCAGCTAACGTTGTCCAGACGGGCCGCCATCGCACCAGGTGGCACAGCAATATGCGAACACGTCCACAGGACAATCGTTCGATCCTTTTCAGCTGGATAGCATTCAATCTGCGTCACGCGCACGAGCACTCTGCAATTCATCATATGCGACCGTTGGACCACACCATGCGTTATGCAAAAATCAAACGATCAGGTCGCATCTTACGACGAGGCACCATCCCCGTCCCACGCGGCGTGTGCAACTCTTGCAATGCTGTAACGTATTGCAGGCAGCTTCGAAATCATTCTTCGGGCAGATCGCCCTGAGCCTGGCTTGATATCCATTCCTCCATCAGGACCTGACGACCAGGTTCTGCCGGTGCAGCTCTTGTCCCTGTTTTGTCACCTTTCCGCGTGACAAGCAGACACAGCACCCAGCCGTAGATATTGAATCCCTCGTAATTGGTCCTGAAGCGCATCTTCTTGTCATCACCATCATCTGCATCTCGCGATAGCGTACCATCATCCTTCCTCCTCTTCAATGTCCGTCGCCGCTCCGGCGAATCATCAAACTGCCCATCAGCATCATCCCGCTGACGCTTCCCTCCAACACCATTATCATCATCATCACCACTCGCCTGTGGAATATCCCTCATCTCCAACCCCTCTTCCTCTTCATCACTCTCAATCAAGATCCCACCCCCAGCCGCCCCAGAACCAGAACCAGAACCAGACCCTCCTCCCATCCCCCTCCCCACAGCGTTACCCCCCTCCTCACCCTCACCAAACTCCTTATGCCTCGTAAGAAGCGAATGGCGCGTCCTCGACTCGCGCAAAAACAACGCAACCTCGAATTCCTCTACACGAATCGCATAAAAAATTAGCCAGCCATTCTTCCCCCCTCCCCTCTTCACACCAGGATATCACAAAAGTAATAGCAATAAGCTATTCCCATGCCATGTAAGAATCTAACTCACCCTCAGAAATAACATCCTTCACCGGCTTCCCCTTCTTCTTCGCAAATAACCGCTCATTCTCCTCACGTAACTTGGGCAGCACGAGTGGTCGGATCGCTGCGAATACGCGTGGAAGTACGGCGTCACGCGCGTTCAGGAGCCATCGTATATCCGAGGGGTTCTCGAGGTAGATTCGACTTTCGAGCACGGTGTATTTGCTGATTCGGAGGTAGCGGCGTATGGGCGCCATGCTTGGTTTGTGCGCGGGTGGTTGGGTTGGGAATCGAGCGGGAAGGTGGTGGTGGTGGTTGTGATGATGGATGCGGGGATAGTATTAGTAGTTGTGGTCTGATGTTGGGCTCGTTTGGTGGTTGTTGTTGTGGTTGTGATGTTAGAGGATGTAAGTGAGTGAGTGAGTGTAAATCAGTGACGTTACCGCTGCGGGCAGTGACCGCCAAGCTTAGGTTAGCTGCGGCGCGGGATTACTAGTTATGGGCTGGCTAGTTTGGCTGTATGTAGCCTCCGAACAACAACACTGGTGGGTTTGTATCTAGGGATGTGGCTTAGCTGGTTCGTGTTACTTGCAGGGGTGTTGGGAATATTAAGCTTGATTTTATTATACTATTCTTTGAAACCTCTATGAGGGATCATACGATGTCTTTGGACCTGGTTCGGTTGATCTACTCCTCAGTTTACTATACAACTGATACTCAATGTAAATGAAGTGCAGGCAGGTTTCGGTCGAGAGCCATTAGGTTGATTGTTATATCGGCTGGGTAAGTGTCTGGTGATATTTGCATGGCGTATACTACACTGCATTTTGTATCGGGGTATGGACAGTTATTGTGGTTGGTACTGTTACTTGCGGTGGTTGTTGTTGATATCTGGCTTTCGTGTACCCAGTCAAGAAGTTTGGCTACTTATAAATCATTGATAGATAATATCTTCGAAGTTTTCCAGGTAGAAAGGATGACATCGAGGCATATATGCCGAATGAGTTCTAGTTCACTCCGAACATACATATACCTGGATGTATATAGAGGTTGAAGCACATATGGCGTGGTGTTGTCTCTATACCCTCCTGTATGAGTTTTTCATAATTTCCATGCATTGGTAATGCCTTTCTCACGCGCTCTCTCACTGGTCTCTGTAGTTGGGCTCTGTTCTGTTTCTTTTTTTCTCTGGTTAAATGTTGGTTCCTGGGATAGCAGTATCCTATGATATCCTGTTCTTGCTCCTGATGGGAGCGCCAATACAGCGAAGTTCCCACGGTTCCTTTCATCGTTAAAATACTATAGTGTCTGTAATTATAGCTTTGGTTCATGTTCAGATAGAATAAGCATCGTGGCAAGGACTTACCAATCTTCTAGCTGAGATGCGCCTTCATGGTAGGTACGGTCAGCGCAGCTCTGAGTGGTGCATTAGTTGTCTAAATGAAAGGCTTCGTTAGCTCGCTTTCACTCTGGGGTAAAAGTATATTCACGAGGAATTTGAAGCTAGAAAGGTCTGGAGCCTTTCTGGTGCGTTCTGCTCGGATCTGGCCTTCTATAGGATTGGTGTTATTGTCAAGTTTTGTCCATTTGGGGGCCGAATGTTGTAGTTTTTGAGTGACCTACCTGCGAGTTGATAAAATCATATTTGATGTCATCACGACATCGTGGCCGTCTACTTGTATTGTTGATATAGAGCAACTCCAAGTAAATATGGTGTAGTGTGAAGTAGACCATTTCGATGGCTGAGTGGGATATATCGTGGATACGACAGAATCGAACGTACTTTGAGCTGTCTTTATTAAACTGCAGGGTGGTGCTATGCTAATGTTCATAGTGAAAAAATGCTCTTCTGTAAGGAGTTCTGACGCTCAAACTACCAGAGTGCTTGCAGGTAGTGCAGTGAATGTACTAGAATGAAGTAGGTATGAATGGGTTCAATATATAAATCAGCAATCCCCACCCAATTCAGTTTACAATACCCATCTGCTAATGCTCAGCAAGCTCTGGACAATCAAGTATCATTATCATGTCTATCTCAAAGTAAACATCAAAGTTCGAAGCTCAGGGTGCGGAATGTATAGACGTCACATGACACCGCGTATCGCTCGCGTCTCTCCGAATCGACGATCTGCAGCTTCTAGACCCCTCAGCATCAACAACACCATCCCCATGGATACTCCGCAATGGATCCTATCCTAGATGGGCTCAATTCCGCCCAAACAGCCGCTGTAGCGTCTCCGTCCCCTATCCTCCAAGTCCTCGCTCCACCCGGCTCAGGAAAGACCAAGACCCTGACCGCGCGCGTCGCGTACCTGCTCGCGCACCATGGCTACCGACCACAAGATGTCATCTGCTGCACATTTACCATCAAAGCTAGTCGGGAGATGAGGGAACGGTTGGCAAAGCTGATTGGTGACGAATTGCAGAGGAAGCTGATTTTGGGAACGTTCCATTCAATTTGTCGGAGATATCTGGTGACATACGGGTATCTGATCGGGCTGAAGAAGGGGTTTGGTATTGCGGATTCAGGAGATAGTTTGGCGATTATCAAGGTAGGTGGTCTAGGTTACATGGTCTATGTGTATGTGTCTGTGTCTGTTGCTGACTCCTACAGAGGATCATCAAGCGACTGCAGGTCGGAATTCAGCCCAACGCAGCGAGGGCAAGGATCTCACACCAGAAAGCTCATGGAGTTAGTCCGGATGAGCTGGCGGCGAAATTGAACAAGGATTCGAAGGTTCTGGAGCAGAGGGAATTTGTTCAGGTATATCGTGAGTATGAGGCAAATTTGGCAGCTTCAAGTTTGCTGGACTACGATGATTTACTTGTGCGGTGTGTGGAACTGCTCAGGAAGCATCCGCAGTGTGTATCGAACGTGCAAGCTGTTCTGGTTGATGAGTTCCAAGATACGAACCATATCCAGTACGAGTTGATGAATTTGTTTGCGTCCCAGAATCAGCGGATCACGGTTGTTGGGGATCCGGATCAGAGTATCTACGGTTTCCGATCTGCCGAGACTAAGAACCTGGGGCGTATGCAGCAGCTGTATAAGGATACGTCGGTCGTCTTGCTGGAGGACAATTACCGGTCGTCTGGGTGTATTCTGAGTTCGGCTCAAGATGTCATCGAACAAGATTCATCACGGCCGGCGAAGAAGCTGCAGCCGACGCATAGCTTGGGTACTATGCCCGTCCTGCGCAAGCTGCCTGACTCGGAGTCGGAGGCCCTCTGGATTGTTCTGGAGATTAAGAGGTGCATCGCCTTGACGGGGAAGCTGGTGAATTATTCGGACTTTGCGATACTGCTCAGGTCGGCTGCTCTCTCGCGACAGATAGAAGCCCAAATGGGAAAGCATGGAATTCCTTACCGAATGGTTGGTGGCTTGAGATTCTTCGACCGAGTGGAGATCAAGTTGCTCCTGGACTATCTTCGAGTCATTAGCCAGCCGGGTAACACCGATGCTCTCCTGCGCATTATTAATGTGCCGTCTAGAAAGCTCGGTGATGAATCGGTCAATATATTGACAAAGGGCGCGGAGAAGGCGAAGAAGCAGCTCTGGGACTTCATGAGGGATGTCGCGCAAGGCCGCAGTTCTACGGAGAAGTCTCTATCAAAGCCTGCCGACAATGGGCTCTGCACTCTGGTTGGTCTCATCGAGTCCTCTCGACAGAAGCTCCGTGAATGTACCGACGGGTCGTCACCGAGGAAGCTCCTCGACTTTTTGATCAAAAAGCTATCGTTCCGAGAATACCTCAAGGCGTTGCATGGCTCGAATGAAGAGAATCGGTGGGCCAACGTGGAGGAGCTCTTGACCCAGGCTGATGACACACCTGGGCCAGAGAACGAGGCTGAAAATGAGGAAAATCTTCCGGAGATACAGGGCATCGAACAACAACAAGCCCATCCGGGCGAAGAGGCGCTATCTCGCTTTCTGGCGAATGTGGCGCTGTCCACAGAGGTTCTTCCGCAGGAAGGTGAAGAGGGCGAGCAATCCAATGAGAAGGTTACCATCTCCACGATTCATGCAGCAAAAGGCCTTGAATGGCCTGTGGTGTTTGTGCCTGCCGTACTTAATGGCATTATCCCACATTCACGTGCCGAGGACTCGGATGAGGAGAGAAGACTTCTTTATGTAGCCATGACCAGGGCACAGGCCTTGCTATACCTAAGCTATCCTCTGCGACAGTCCCGCGATGGCGAAGAGGCAACACTGTCGAGCTTCCTCCCGTCGAAGCTAGTAGAAGAGCGATTTCGTTTTCTCGGACCGAAAATCAACGACAGGATTATCCAAGATATCGCAGATATCCTACGTCGACCAATGCCGGACTCAGCTGCTATATCGGAAGGACGATCTACCTGTGATATCCCATATGACGATCAGTGGACAGAAGATGGCTTCGAAGCACCTGATGCCATCATTCGCTGGGACGGCACCAGAGCCATGGGCGGGGAGCCCAATTCTAAGAGACAACGTCTTAATCAAGGGCAATCGGGCGCATCGACAACAACATACATGTCGTGGACGACGCCGACCATGAATGGCTCCAACTTTTCTGTTCCCACAACATTATCCCTGGGCTTCTCGACAGCCCGCGAATACATAGCGACCAGCGACTCAGCCCCAGAACAACCCCCAACTAAAGCCGAGACCAAACCGAACGCCGTAGCTGCCAGCATCGTCAGTCGCAAAGCGGACGGACTATCGCAGAAAACGATCTCCGGATTCTTCGGGCAGCCTTCCTCGTCAGGCCCGAAGAGCGGTGCAGGCGCGGCTGGGCGCTACCAGCCTCAGGGCAACCGAAGAGACGCGGTAGGGCAAACGCGTCACAGTGGATCGACGAACTCTGAGTTTAGAAGTGTGATCCCATCGAATCTCCGGATGTATCGCCCGCAAGGGCCCAAGTTGCAACCGCCTCGACCGGTTCTCGAACCTTCCGACCCGAATCAATACACCTGGTTGGCGGCATCCTCGAAGCCGTCAGAGGGACAGAAGCTGTTCTCGCGCGCCACTCAGGGACCGAAGTCGACTGACGAAGGAGCAAGCGAAGCTGGGAAGGATTTGCGGACAAGCGAGATTAAGAGTCTTTCAGGAACCGTCGGGGGAGCCAGACCGGTGGCCACGTATCACACGACTACCATGTCGATGGTGCAGACCGGGCCAGCGACGACGATGCGACGGACGCTAGGGATTCGACGAAGCATGAATGGATGGGCGGATCGCATGAAGAGGGAGAATAATGGACCATCTTCGTAGCTGTAGAAGGATGGTGTGTGGCGTCTGGCGAAGACAAGGGTATATACTGGTCAGTTATAATATGGGCGCATTACGAAGTCATGATCAAACCATCAAACTACATAGTATGGCATTCACACTTAGCAGAGTACAGTCCCATCCCTTCTAGCAATCCTTCGTAGAACACCATACCTATGCCATCTATGAGTATGGGAAGTATTCACACCGACCACGCCCAACTCCAACTCCAACTCGAACTCAGCTCAGCTCAACACAGCACAGCACAGCACAGCCCACTAACCCCCATCCGTACTAGCCAGCCACCTTACCACCCCAGCCAGTCCTCAGGCTCAGCATCACTTCGTCCGTCCATTCCTCAGTAAGTCAAGTACAAAGTAACTAACTCACCCAGTATGTATGACCTACCAGTGATGTATGTATGTATGCACCTAAACTACTACAATAATGTGCAAACATTATTAAATGAATAAATAAACACCAACCATCCATTCAGGAACCTTCCATTACCCACGCAAAGCAAAGCAAAGCAAGCCAGCCACAATAATCCAATCCCGCCTCACTTTTTTCTTTACCCTCCTTCGCTTCGTTCCTTTCCGTCATTATTATTGTCGTTATTATTATTACTATTATTATTATTATTATCCTTGTCTCGAACTTACGGGGAACTAACTAACCCGGATTAAGGTCTAGTTCTTTCTTTGCTTGCCTGCTGACCTGGCTGACCTGGCAGTATGGCACTAACCCAACTAGTGTCTAGTAAATAGACTACTAACTAACTGGGCTGCTGCCCAGTAGTTGACTACTTACTAAGATATTACATAAGTAGTGATGCAGGCACAGCTGGCGATAGTTCATAGGAGGGTCACAAGGGGTCACGTCACGTCAGTAGTTGCTTTTGCTTTTGTACCTGACAGACAGACGGACGGGCTGGATGGGTATGGGCACGGTCGGTTGAGTGGGATGGGTGTAGCGGTGTGCTTACTAAGGTAGGTATTGAATGTATTGTTGGGGTGAGTTAGGTTATTTCCCTAGACAGAGGGGATAGTAAGTATCTACAGTAGGTGAGTGATTTCTCTATTTCTTTCTTACTTCGAATTATATGATTGTAGCGGTGAGTAAGTAGTCGTAAGTTGAGTTAGTTTACTCTCTTCCATGTGCATGGTCTGATTTATTATTCCGTTACTATTAGTAGGTATGAGATGGATGTGATTACCCGAGGATAATAATAATAATGTGATGGGGGGTGGGGGATTAAATTATTTACTCCATATTGCCTTAGTATGTCTCAATAATCTAATCTACTTGATGGGAAAAAGGAGGGAGGTGAAGCGAGTTGAGTCGGTAAAGAACCAAGTATGGTTCTACTGGATTTAGCTCTAGTGTACGGAGTAGCTTGCTTACTCTGCTAAGGTAGGTGCTACTAGGTAGGTAGCTTACTGACTAGATCCGGAAGTAGATAGTTGCTGATAGTCTGGGGAATGATAATACCCTGATAATAAGCTTGGAGCTATCTATCCATCTATCATTTACTGAAACGTTTGAGCTATTTTCCATCGTCAGCATCAACATCAAGACTATTATTGGGAGAATGGGCTGTTTATTTTTCTGCTTTACTTCTTGCCTAATAATCGGGTTTCATCAAAGTATGGTTCTTATTGCGACTAGAGAAGAGCTAAGACCCGAGATAAGGGGGTGAGTGATGAGTGAGTAGTAGTGTGGGTGGGTGGGTGGTTGATCCATCCCTCCCTCCTGAGAGGCAGGTCTGTCTCGAGTACAATACACAGCATAGATACTGTCGTGATTAGTCGAGTCGGTGATGGGATGGTTGCGATGTTCAAATTACCTTACCTAGCTAAGGTAGGGTAAAACCGTACTTTGTCCGTGTGACAGGAATAGTAGTAGACCAGTTGGGTAGGACGACGACGACGACTGCTATTTTGGACTTTTTCGCGGGTCGTCCTAATAAACTGGAGCTTACTTTGCTGCCAGCTAACACAGGAAGTTTCCGTAGATAGTAAGGAAGTCAATTAGGTGTGGAGGATGTTGATCCACTTGGAAGAGAGGAGATGTTCGGTTCGGTCGAGACTATGAGTAAGTTGTGCCTGAGGTTCCCCTTCCACTCTTACTGTTTCGGGATGGATGGGGCCAGCACCAATTGGGTTAGGTGTGTTATTTATGGGATGGTATGGGAAGTGTAATATTGGCTCGTTATTAATAGTTGGGCGACTGTCAGGTGACCTGTGGGGGTGGTATAAGGCTGTAAATTACCATTATTGTGACAGCTCTGACCCAATCACCAGACGCATCCCTGGTTTTAGGGGGTAACATTCCCAGGGAGAGCTGGCTTCCCGTGACCCAAGGCGAGTCGGTAAGGTATTGGGCCTTACCAGCATTGATTTCCAGCTTGGACAGCATCAGCAACTGGCAAAAGTTGAGTTGTCGACAACTAGTCCAACTAATTAGTAGTTACCCAAAGGCAAGGCCAGTTGGTGGAATGACTGCCTCAGCCTCGTACCGCCACATCACCCAAGCTCTTCGGCCAGACGAGAAAGGAGAGCGGATTCAGCCTGTCTGTCCAACTCTCCAGCCACAGTCTCCTGAGGGCATTGCCTGATGACTGACGGGCGATGCCGAGGGAAGCCTGCCTGCCTGCCTGCCTGCCTGTTGCTCCCAGGCTCTCTGTTTCCAAGGCTCTCTGACTCCCATTCATTCCCCTTCAGGCTCCAGGGCTCAGGCTCAGGCTATCAGCATAGCAACTCTCCTATCAGAGTCATCCCCCAAACCCAATTGAAACACTTACTCATCCCCCATCGTGAGAGTGTCACTAGAATGACGAATCACCTGGTTTGCTGCCTCGTCTTTTTGTCCTTGAATTTCGCCCCTGGCAGGGGCGGTGGATACCACCACCCCGGGCGAAGTTCGAGGCTTCGACGAGGATTCCAGACATTCGATTTCCTTTTGCCTGGGGGTGGCCCCCATGACGTCTGTGTCGCGGACTTCTTTTGGATCGACGATGCTTTCGTAGCATGTAACTAGTATGTAGCATGTAGCATAGCATGTAGCAGGCCGCTGCAGGCTGGTAATGCAAATGGGGGGGAAAGAATGGAAGGCAGCAGAGCCCACCGACTAGTCAGTCCTGCAAGATGATCGATCTGCTTCTCCGTCATGGCTGGCTTAGTGAAGTGTAGGTTTACCGTCTAGATCCCAAGTCCCTTGGGGGGGGAAGCTAAACTGAACGGGATCCGATTCGACTTGATCCTTTTCTGGCATTGCTTTGCTTTCTATTCTATTTCCGTTTGGATACCGTTATACTTCCCTCCTCCGGGGAAAACATACAAAAGCCTCCTGCCGTCCGTCTGGAAATCGCTTCTTTTCCATCTACCACAGACTACTACTATTACAACTCTACTATCAACAACATCGTTAACCCAAGACTACTACTTAGTCTCTGACTACTTCTACTCTACCTTCATCTATCCTTCTCTCATCGTCTTCTCTCACCTCTTCTCTTACACTTCGGATTTTGGCCTCGTACTGAGCCTTGCTCCGCCACCGACTGCCATCCTTATACTTACTTACTATATAAATCTACTTTCCTCTCTGACTCCTACCGTCTACTACTACCTCATCTCACCTCCTATCTTCTACCAAGCTACCATCACCACTACTACAAAACAATACAGTCAACTCTCTCACATCTCTTTCTTATCAAACCATCAACATGCCTCACAAAGTCAACGACTCCAATTCTACCCTGTCCAGCAGTGGCAGCAGCGGTGACCGTGTTGTGGTCTCAGATCTACGAGGTATGTCCATCTGCAACTGCAAATCTACTATCTACATCTTGTTGGATCACGGAAGCTAATCCGGCGTCTGTCTCTCCTTAGGGCCCAATGCTGTCCCACGCCGTACACAACCCCCGGTGATTGTCCACAACCGGGGAGGGCAGATCTACGATGAAACGAGACCTTCTGATTGGGACAAGCAACGGTGGAAGTAAACCCATCCTGGTTTCCTCAACCCTCCAGTCGGGGGGAGTTCCCTTCCGGAAGCGCTGCTGGGCAGTTGCTGGGGACTAATTGTCGCCGGAAGGGCCGATTATCCGCGCGGCTTCGTCCAAAAGTGAGGCGACGGATCGACAGCTGGTCTGGTCAACTATCTTTTCGGCGTCTCTCTCGTTCTCGACCGGCAACCGACGGATGGGATGGCATGCTCTGGACTCTCGTCACCGCCCCCCTGACAATGCTGCATTGCAGCGCTGCTGGCTGCTATCCTTTGCTATCTCTTGTCTGTCTCTCACTCTCTCCGTTGCCGTCGGTTCCCTTGCGAATCGTTGCCCCGGATTCTTGTCTTGCCCTTCCGTCGAGATTACCTTCTGGACTTGATTTCCTTTCCCGATCATTGTACACTATTGTGCCTCTTTTTGTTTTTGACACCCTTTTTCGGATTTCCGACGCCATGCCCTTGTATTATTTGGTTTCTTTTACCCTTTCGGAGATTTCGTGTTCCTGTTGCTCCGTGTCTCCTCACACTGTGACGAGGCACACGTGTTACATCCCTCCATCCATCCACTGGCAAGACTGAGTGAGGACGGACACGAACTCTAACCCGGTTGTGTCTATCTACGCTCGAGACAGCGACGGCATAGTTCCGGGCCAACCCTTGCTTCTGCCGTCCCTTGTCAGCAGCAACCGCGACACCATCTTCCTATCCCTTTTTTTATTATTTCTTCTTTTCTGGCTGTACCATATCGTGCTGATGCTTTTTCTCTGCCCTCCCTTTTCTGCTTTTGTCATTCCGCATAGCGTGGGTTTGATCTTGCAGGACTACCTTTTTTCGGCTCCTGTCCTAATTATGTGCTTCATGTCATATCACGGTCATGTCATGTCATTCCTTCATTCGCTCGTTCGCTCTTTCGTCCGACTTGGACGCGGAGTCATCTGCATCGCCTATACTCAGGTCATGACAGTTGCCGACCGGCCCAGTCTGGGCGGGTGGGCAGGTGCTGCGCTGGTCGCGGGCTACCTGCCTCCTACATACACTCACACTAACACACACACCCTGATGTACCATCATTATTGCTCGACATGACTGATGCTCTACTGTTACCAATTACTATCCATCTGCTGTTGACTGGTTTGGATTGTTGTTGTCGTTATTTTGATGTCACACATACTATTTCACAGAACTTACTTGGATACATTCTAAGTGAGGTTGTACCAGATAATCTAATTGTCATGATTACTACCACTACAATCCATCCATCCATACACAGTAGCTACTATCTCCCATTGACTTTGCACCAACCCGACTAAACCCAATCCATCCCCCACCGCATACCTACTGCATACACCACAGAAAACGAAAACAGTAGACCAAGAAAGTAACACTGACAACACTGACAACACTTCTTCCCCGCAATTCCATTGCATTCAATATCCACTTCTACCCCGTGGCATGATACCTCCCACATTTGACGTACTGTACTGTACACTTGTCTTGTCCTGATCCTATTGTTTCTATCCGTAGCCACATCCCACACCAGCGAGCAGACAGACACCATACACTCCCCACACTATCGACAATTGACATTTGACATATGCTCCGTGTTAATGTGCTGGCATGTCGTTATCCATACATACACACGTACACAGATACACACATACCCACATGCACACACAGATGAACGGAAGGCAGACAGAGATATGATCCGAATCCCTCAATTCTCTCCGCATCTGCAGATAACACAGAAAATGTTACAGGATAGAACAGAAGAGCAAAGTCTAGAATTGAAAGTGCCATGACTAGTAATAGAGCCAGCAAGCACATCACCTGACCACTCGCACCCGCACCGCACCGCTGCACACGACATCGTCCGTACTGCATGATGCTCAGGCAGAAAAGCTACCTACCTACTGTAGTTACCTACCTACTTTCCTGGCATTTACTTATCTAGGTAACTTAGAAGATAGGTAGGTTGGCAGGTTGACAGGTTACAGTATGTAGACGAGAGTGGTAGTGGTAGTAGTAGTGACTGACTACATGGCATGAAGGCATGAAGGCATGAAGCAAGCACTGTATGCACAGCAGCGGCATCAACGGCCAGCCATCCATCCAGCCATCTAGCCAAGATCGGAAAGTGACAGGCAAGCAAGCAAACAGACAAACAACATCCACTCTGCCTGCCTACAGTACAGTACAGAACAATAGCAAGAAGGCAAGCAAGCAAACACACATTTCCGTTTCGAATATGCTGCCAAGTTTTCTCAACTTGTCTTAGCACTTATTGTTGACCGTGTCTGTCTCTACTACATAAACTACATAAATAAATAGTATCTACCTATCTATCTAATGGAGATTCATTTTTTGATCTCATACATCACTATACTCGTAACATATCTATTCAATGTTGACATTGACTAACTAGAAGTATACCACTTACTACTACATACCCACTGAAAAGTAATTATCTGCGGATATTGAAACTGCAAGTCCATAATCCATGGCATTCAGTCCCATTGTGGCAGCTGTAGCCAAGACGGACTGGCCCGAGTCGGGCATGTCGGGCACTCTCGCGCGTGCGTATGCACGATTGATTGATTCATGGGGTGTACTGTACAGGGTAGGAGGTTGGCTAGAGGGTATGCATGTAGCTTACTTTGGAAGGGTAGGTAGGATACTAGTAGTAGTGGTGGAATCGGGTATGTGTATGTCTTGTGTATGTGTATGTAGTCGCTCAAGATCTGACTTTCCACGAGATAATAAGAAAAAGGAAAGCAAATGCGAGATTGAACCACAAGAGAAAATAAACTTAAGGAGATAGATCGATCGATCAAGGTATCATCCGAGTGAAAGAGGGAAATGAAGATGGAAAAGAAGTAGGTATAGTAGGTAAAGTAAAATGGAATGGTCAATTTTCATCCACCGGTCCATAATGGTTGTGATGACAGATCCTTCATCTGCATCTGTCTCTCTCTCCAACTATTAAATAACAAAAATTCATATCTGTTTGGTATTTTCTCATTTGCATTTTCCTCCCCGGACCACACAGATTTTTTTGGTCGGTTTTGACAGTGTTCTTTTCTGCTTTTTTTGGGGGACCTCATTCCACCAGGAAGAAAACAGATGCCGTGCTCAGGTATAACACGGTGCAGGGTCTTATGTGCGACCTGCGTGTATAGAAGGAAACATGGGGTCAGAGGTTAAGCCACATTAATGTTCTTTACGTAGGGGTGTTGTGAAGGGGACAAGGTTGATGAATGTTGTGAAAGGGGTAGATAGGGAAAAAGGGGGAGAACAAGAAACGAAAAGTTAAAAGCGAAACACCCAGCTTGGTCATCGCAATCCACTAAAGGAAGCGCAGGAATGTGTGACGCTACCCATGGGCTGCGATGGAAAACGAAAACATAAATGCAAATGTACTCGAACGGCTCGCGCTTGCAATGCTAGTTGTAGAAGAAGAGAAATAACAAGCTGAATGCAACGGGGGGTAGTCCCGAGAGATGATATGCGGAAGACAAGGAGATGGGGTATGCAATTTTTAGACAAAGAAACAAAGACGGAGATAGAACGAAATTGGTGTCGAAGTAGAACCAGGTCTGTATAGGTTCTGGTTCCAACCAGATCGGCAGTTATGGCACAAGATGCAAAAATACATCGTATTCAGGTATCAAGCAATATGTTGGTATATTATTGATGAGCAGCTTCATCAACCCTCGTGTCGAGTTCAGTAACCAGTGCTGAATGACATGTTGGGCTGGAGGAACTGTTGTTGGTACGTGGTGTCCTGCGAATACGTGTGAGAGCTCACGTACTGCATACTGGGCGGAGGTGTCGGCGACGGCGAGCAAGCACTAGCTCCTGCTGTGCCTTTGGCAAAGGTGGGATTACCACCATTGGCAAAAGCCTCATTCTCCGGTGTGATTGGCGGTGTGATATAACCGTGCGCCATGGCCGATGATTGGGTCGCCTTCTGCGGTGTAGCAAGCCCAATCTCGCCTTCGTATGGCTTGGGCTCGGGTTGGACAACGTCCGTTTGCGGGCTGGGGGGCGTGTAGCTTGCGATCGAAGCTTGACGGGCAAGGAATTGTTCCAGCACCTTGGACACACGGGAGTAGTGAGCCGAGGAATACTTCCTGGAAAGCACCTGGGAGGGTTGGTGAAGCTGCTGCGACAAACCCACGAGCGTCATCGAGTCGTACTGGGACGCCCATTCTGTGTGACGAGGCTGAGTCCGGTTGAGGATGCAGCGCGCGAGAGCCAACGAGGCCCGGGCGAGATCCGACGAGGGCTTGGATACGAATTCCCGATGGAACAGCGAGATCTCCGAGATGTACAATGCTAGGTGCTCGACCTCGGCATCATACGGGCAATCCATCACAGCCATCTGCAAGAAGCTATCGACAGTCGGGTGTCCAATGGTCCACCCCAGTGTTTGCAGCACATGCCACTCCATTTGGATGAACATATCGTCGTCGTATAGCGAGCAGCACATGGACTTGAGTTCCTTGATGGTTGGCACGCGGTCCTTCTTGTCGCCATACTTGGCTGCGATGAGCAAGGCAGCACATCCAACGAGTTGATAGTGTCTCTTGTAAACAACACGCTTGGAGCAGTAACGGTCAAGAAGGTTGATGGTGAGGAAGAGGGTCGATGGCAAGAGCTGGAATGCAGTGTGGGCTTCAATCAAGAAGTCGAGCAGGTATGGACGCATGAACCACTGGATCTCGGTCTGGATATCGATTGACTCGACGTCCGGAAGGGTGGCAGCATCCATGTCCAGCATGTGCGCCAGAACGTCATCACGGAATTCCTCGCTGGTAATCTTTGACAGCTGTTCCGCCATGGCGTACTGACGCTCACGAGCCATCAACTTGGCGTGTTCTTTCGGATCCATACGGGGGGCTGGAAACTCGTCGTAGGACTCGACGAAGAAAGTATCGCAGGGCTGGTAGCTCGATGTGGGGCGCTTGTGGTAGGCCATGATGTCGGTCTGGTATTAACGTCGACCCAAAGAGTATTCAAAGAGTGGACCTGATAACTGTGTCGATCAGGAAACGACGGAGGTGAGAGAGTGACAGTCGTCGGATTAGGGAATTAATGAGTGGAATTAGTTGGGAAATATTAAATCAAAGGCCACAAGAGACGATAGCCTGGTATCAAAAAGGGGAAGGATGGGTAGACAGCTGGAGCGGAGCCTTGTGATGGCCGGAGCTAAAGGAAGGTAAATATTAGTAAATCGTAATATTAAAATTAGAAGATTAAGGAAATTTGTAAACGAGTGTGAAGTGCCAAAGGATGGTAATGTAGATATAGAGGTGAAGGGAAGGATTGAAAGGTGAGAAAGGAAGGCCCGAAGATCGAGGGCGGAAAAGGGGATTCCCTGGGGATAAAGTATACTAACCCAGATTGAAAGCCTTCGGGCAGAGGGCACGATGCAACCCTTACCGTGACGGCGTGTCTGGCATCTAGGCTGGCTAGGAACAGGCAGGAATGATCCGTTGAGATGGTACTCTGTAGGATACCAGTCCGAAAGACGAAGCACGAGTAAACGCCTTCGCCCTAGGAACCGATGCTTGAACTGGCAAGCCTGGGTGTGCTCCGGAATGTGGAAACAGGAGCACAGGCACGAACCCTATGAAGGGGTGGGGAAATCGTCAGGGGGGGAAAGGATTAAAGTGCAAAGAAAAGAATGACCACCACATACAGTTTGCAATCCAGTGTCTTTCGAACGTCCCTGTACAGGACTGGAATGGTGTTGCGACAGGGGATAAGCGCTTAGAGAGCCAAAATCCACATTAAAGGGAGGGAGGCTAAATCGAGGCCAATTTGAGATATTAATCAAGAAAAACCTGTCTGTTGAAGGAGCAAAAAGAAAGGTTAGCCATCATCATCTAACCATCACTCTTCTTTCCTTCAATCGCGAATTGTGACTAAAAGGTAAAAGCTTCTTGGTGGTCTGCCAATGTATGAGGGCCCGGGTCGACCCCGTCAAATATGCACGAGCCGTGCTACGCATTCTTTCTTCAGGGCACATGAGGATCTCCTCTTTCCGATCCACCTCGTTGCTTAAGATAAGGACGATCCTCTCCCTCTGGCAACATGTACTGTCGAATGGAGACAGGCCAAGGCTGAGGGAGAGGACATCCGACCTGCAACATCTGCATTCCCTGCCCACACCCAACTCAATGAGCCATTGTCCATAACCCCTAACCTATACGCAGCCACTGTCCGAGTATCCTTTATCCAGCACTTCCATTGCGACATTGCCGACGTATAATTGCGGTCATCTCAGACTTCAGGTTTCCACGCCTCGAAGGAAATGTGGCAGGTCTCGGAGTTCGAAATGGAAAATTGCTGACTTCATTCGAATTGGGCTCATGGGGAACTAGCTCAGCTGGCAGAAAGCTTCACTGGCATCCACTGACATCGGTGCCAGGCAGGTCGAACTATCATTCAGAGTGTCTTCCACTTCCACCCACCCACCACCCAAACCCCGACCATCCAAGCAGGGGGAAAAAGGGGGGTTGA